ACTGATACTGATTAGTGTTAACAAAATGTACCACTGATACTGATTAGTGTTAACAAAATGTACCTCTGATAATGGTTAGTGTTAACAAAATGTACCTCTGATACTGGTTAATGTTAGCAAATGTAACACTGATACTGATTAGTGTTACCAAAATGTACCACTGGTACTGATTAGTGTTAACAAAATGTACCTCTGATACTGGTTAGTGTTAACAAAATGTACCGCTGATAACAGGAAGCAGCCCACGAGTTCGCAGGTCTCTGCACCATCGAAACTTTCCATTGTAACATCAAGCGTGTTGGAGCCCTTTTTTGCCACGGTGGTTGATTGTGGATTAACGATTTTGTATGGTGTGGGTGATGTTTATTTCTGTATTCGGGATATTATCATAAGCTGAGGTGAGACCCAATGCTTTGCTTAGTTGATCTTCGCTTATGGATGGGTATTATTCCACAACGACAAAGTTATAACATGCCTTGTTATCGATACGGTCAAACCATTTGATCACGGAAGATGTATTTTACATTGGTGGATACCGAGCTGCGATGGTCTTCTTCTGTCCAGGATTTGTTTACTTACCTTCCCTATTTCATATTTAATGGATTGATTAGTTTGCACGATGGGTTATTTACAAAGTTTGGTTTGTGGTCTTTTGAAGTTATCTCTTTTGCACTAACGTCTGGTATAATAATAAAATAATAAATAATATAGAGTTTATATAGCACTTGTTATCCACCAAATGATGCCCAATGACGCTCATAGTCAACTGGAATGTTGATGAAACAGATGAGTTTTCAATCTGGATTTGAATGTGTTAATATTTGGTGCTGTACGAATGTCATTTGGTAAATGATTCCATAGTGCCTTCATGAGAGAATGATCGGTCACCATATGATTTAATTCTGGTTGTTGGTACTTTGAGTAATTGCTTGTTGCTAGAGCGAAGAGCTCTACCAGGATTACTTTGTTGTATGAGATCCGAAATGTATGGTGGAGCCAACTGATGTAGAGCTTTGTAAGTAATGAGGAGTATTTTGAATTGGATTCTGTGAGTGACTCTGGAAGCCAATGCAACTGTTGGAGTATTGGTGTTATGTGATCAAACTTTTTTGTGCGAGTAATGAGACGAGCACCACTATTCTGGGCTCTTTCTAACAGGTTTAGTTGTGCAGTTGGTAAGCCATATAGCAGAGCATTGCAGTAGTCCAGTTTAACGACAAGAGTTGAATGAATCAGCTTAAGGCAAATGTCAGTAGATAAGTACTGTCGAATTTGTCCTATACATCTAATGTTGAAGTAAATACTTCGGCAAGTGCTTATAATATGTTTTTTGAATTGAAGAGTATAATCAAATATAACTCCAAGGTTGCGTGCAGCTGCGACTGGCTCAATAACTGTATAATTAACATGGATACTGCTGACAGGGATAGGAGTATGGATACATTTGGATCGAATGAGCAAAACTTCTGGTTTTCCATCGTTGAGCTGTAGCTTGTTGAGTGTCATCCACTTCTTGATGTCATGTAAGCAATGTGTTAGCTCTGGCTGAATGCTAAATACAGTTGATTATCATCGGCATAATGGTGATTATGTTGACGAATGATCTTACTGAGGTGAGCTATGTATAGCGATAATAATAGTGTTCCGAGCACTGACCCTTAGAATACAACCGAGCTCGGCCAATAATAGTGGCCATTTATGGTGATGGATTGATGTCTGTCTATTACATACGGTGTATATATTGTTACCATAGTGACATCACGTACACACATTTGGTTCACATGACGTTGCTGTATTATTTAGAATCAGCAACTTGCATGTTCGTGGAATTTCACATTCTGTTAATCACGTGATCGTGCCAACGCCTTAGAGTTTTATTGTAGAGTTTGTAAGATTTTGTGAGAGAAGAGAAAGAGGCAGCGAGGGCCGGGGTTACCCCAGCTGACAGTTTGGATGAATAAAGCTTGATTATCTGTAATGAACTAATTTGTATTTCTTTGGGTCAGCCTTGCATCTCTACATGTAAGTGTTATCAGCTAAGCGAGTCAAAGTTTCCTGGACACAACGCTTTGTTCGCAACAAATAAACGATATTGTTTTGCTCTGTAGTCCTCAATACATAAAGACGTTTTTGAAAGATTCTATTATATTCTGAAATACGTACGACTACAGACACACACAGAAGTCAGTTTGCTCGACATTGCCTCCACCCATATACGCCATTTTGACTTTACAGAAGCTTTTCATTACTAGAGGGCGCAATTTACACGAACGGTGTATTGGTAGCGGTTATACAAATAAAATAAAAGAAAACAAACGTTGTCAACAACATGAATCTGTCCAATATTTGTAAAAATTAAGATGCAAATTATTACAATATTACACTTATATATCTAGATATCTAGCCGTCATATTTAAAGCAGTCCCGTGTTCGAAAAGACACAACAATTAATTTGTAGTGAAATACGCGACAGAGCATAAGTTTCAAACTATTTTTTCAATTTCATTCGAGAAGAAATTAATTATTACATTCATTCATTCATTCATTCATTCATTCATTCATTACACAACAAATTTAGAACACTTCCCCGGGTATTTAAAACCAAAATTATTATTGAACTGTAAGGCCGTTACTGATTGCCTTCGAAAAATGTGTACCACTCTCTCCACCCAGTGGTGGGTTAGACGAGTTGAGAGAACGGAAAACCGAGAAATACTCTTCCAGCGTAATGATAAAACTGGTAATCTGTCGCCTCACTGCGCTAATTAAACCATGACCACATACTAATTAAAAATATATTATTGTTATTTATTATGCAGGCTCCAGACGAGATGATTAACTTATTTTGCTTTGAATAATCGACATTGTTTTTTTATTTGTCAGTTACACTCATTGCGCAGAAATTGACACATCACAATCGACAAAGTACAAAAAAGCAACAACATAGAGCACAATTACATATCATAATATTCAACGAAAAACCCTCATTTCAGTACAAATTTGGTTTTTGTTCAGATATAGGATGAATTTCAAATCATACCCATTAATATATCTGTCGACTTACAACCAGTAAACCTAAATATGTGATTGTTATTATGTTTTTGACTACAACACACAGTAGAACGTCACTTAGTTCATCGATTGTGTTAGTCAACTGTCTAACGATATTTCACCTGTGCGGTACAAGCAACTGACAGGCAGGCGTCCGCGCTAATTAATTGCTAGTAATATAATAGCTACACACGTAGCACGTGACTATATGCCATTAAAATCATTCTTGTCAATAAACACATTGAAAATGGGATAAACATCTGGTTGTACAGTAATGTTGTCCCGGGACTATTGGACCAGGCTGCCGAACGGCGCACTGCAGTGACTCTATGCATAATGAACTCATACCTCGAATTTGATACTTCCGAATTCGAGATGACAAAACGATTATTAACTGCAAAATAAAAAGTACATGAAGATTTGGTGAATGATTTGGTGTCACGGTGAATATTTGTAACATCACCGTGACGGAGGCAAATTTTCATATTCACTTCATTCGCAATTAATATTTTTTATTGTACGGCTATGAACGTAATTTAAAACGCGACAATGTTACCTAATTTCGTCTCACGGGGTATCTATTTCATGGCTTGTTAGGAGATGCGATATTTCCAAGAATATCGGAGGTGTTTGAAAACTAGGCTCATAGAGTGAAGGTTCAATTAAATTTCACCATTGGAATTCATACACCCAACACTTGAGTCGGAAATAAGTATCATAATGCGGTTATTTCGAGAATGCCGCAAACAAATGCACTCAGGCGTTTTATGTATCGGTCGATACTTACACTGAACGTGTATATTTTTAATAACCTCACATCATAATCCATCATCGTAATTAATAATGATAATTGCGACATGATAAACTCACTGGTTACAATACAAGTAAATGCAAAAATGCGTAAGTAATGTCAATATAATCTCACTTTATTAATTCAAGTAATATATGTGTTATATATAATTAATATTTTGTAAAATAGTCATCTATGTAATGATAAACATATTTACTTATATTTTGATAGCTTATGTCGAACCTTGCAAAAACCGCACCGCACCATCACGCGATATCATTGTGTTTACGACTACAGTTGTGATTCTTCTAGAATAGTTTGGGTCGTTCTCAGGTTTGATGACGTATCTTGTACACCGCACTCACAAATTCGTCTGAGTTCACGTTTAAATCGATCGTACTTGAACAAATAAATAAGTGGATTGACACACATGTTGCAACACGCTAGAACCAGACACATATTATAAATGAAGCCCTCATACGACACAATTCCCGAACAGACGTGTACAAAGTTGTACACAGTGAGGGGAAGCCAACATAATGCGAAGGAGACAGTGACTACGATGAACGTTTTCACGATATTTGTGCTCGCTTTGCTCCATGATGAACCTTGCGCTACTGTTACAGCATCGTTCGCCGAGTTTGTAACAGTTATTTGACGCTCTTTTTTCTTAAACATGAGATATATATTGATGTAGGCATATGACATGCATGTCAGCGGTAATATCACCATAAAGAATACTTCGACGATCAGCAGACCAATTCTTGATACGATTTCCGCTGGTTCGCATCCGCCATTCTTGTATTCCATTGTCAACGGCCAGTACAGCTCACAACAGATGGCATAGATCCATTCAAACAGAAACACAAGCTTAAAATTAATCTTCTGTTGATTATTATGGTATCTGATCGGGTGAATGGCGGCATAGTATCGATCTAAGGCGATCAGGGTAAGATTCGTGGACGAGGCTATCCAAGTAGTATATTGCAACATCTCAGACCAGTATAGTTTGCAGTACACGGTGGCAGCTGTGGCATTATATGTAATTTGGATTTGCGGAACAACGTAAAAAAGGGTGAAAATACACGATGCGATTAGATCGACAATCGACTGGTTGATCACCAGCAGACGAACGTTGGAATTGGACTTGTTCATACGCCAGACAACGAAACATGCTGCGGAGTTACCGACGATTCCCAATAATGAAATAATAACTGCGCAGACCAACTCTGGAAGGGTTTTCACGTTTGCCCATGATAAATTTGCGTCGGGATAACTTGATAAGCCGATGCTCGAATTGAGGTCGATGTCCATTGTGCGGAGCGACTTCCACTCGTCATATACGCTACAAGCGAGGTGTTCGAAATGCTTGGCAGTGCGTGGGTTGCTAGATCTCAACGAATATGATTTATGAACACAATACACGATCGTATATGGCTTATAGTAAGAGAATGTTTAACTGTCGATTGGGGATGATTAAAACGTAATGTTAAAAAAAATGTAATCGCCCACTTATAAAAACCACTGAATTGGAACATACTGTATAAAGGTTAATAAACAAGTAATAATAAAAAAAAATAATGTTAAAATTGCTAAATAATATAGTAGTACACAACAATTCAATAAGTTACAATCTAATTGATCAATTGCAAACAAAAAACAATGCCAATGCCTGTACGCTTGAACATTATTCCATTTCTTCCAAAAAAATCTTGTTGTGCCCTTTCTGACTGAAAGTAGTAATTCATACTTTTTGCTATATCTCATCGCTGCTATAGCTATGTTAAAATTTGGCAAATCTTTTTTAAGCTTGCTGTTGTAAATACATATGTTATGATAAGTATATTATTAATGTGATTGAGTTGAGTTTTTTTTATCTCCCAAGATAATTTGTGTGCTTGTTAATTTATTTTGAATTCTTAAGGCCTTACCCCAAATATTGCCCATAAAACCTGTACTGCTTCACACTCAACAAATAGATGAATTAATGTTTCTGTAGTATTATGACAGAACTTACTAATGCTGAATTCATATGGAATAACATTTCATTTGTATAAAAAATATTGTGGCTTAATTTCCACTGAAATTCGGAATTTGTTGCAGATTGTAATTTTAAAAGGCAGAGAATAAATAAATGTCCAGTCAAGGTAAGCTCCAATGAAAAGATTATTAAAGATGGTCTGACTTTTGGCAGTGACAACCAGATTGCTCTGTTTTATCATTATTCACAGTTAGCCCAGACAGCAAGGCAAACTGACCCAGGAGAGAAAGAATATATTCTGCAGATTTAACAACTTGTACAAAACATGTTAAATTATAAGCAGCCGTTTTAATCCCATGTCCCATAATCATATTGCTATGCACATTACTACTTTGCTACAGGGTGACTAGAACAATTTCCTGGGAGAAAATAAACAATACCTTACCCCCTAGAGAGACCAAAATATCTGGTGGATTTACCTCTGTTCATAATGCAACCAATCGGGTTTGAATATAAAGTATGTACCCACTTTATAAGGGAAGGGCCATTAAATTAATTTTGTCGATGCAGTCAAACATACATTTCCATTCTAGGCTTTCGAAAGTTTTTTGAATATCAATCAATTGCCATTAAAATACTAGTTTCATTTATATCGTCTGTGTATAACCATAACCCCCCCACCTTCCACAACACCGTTTTGTTTTATGAATTAATTTCCGGCGTAGCTGAAATTTATATATTTGTTATTGTGTTTCAGGACAGAAGGATTACCAAACGTGTCATTTTTTGATGAAGCGTTATGCCAAAGCGTGATAGAGCGCTCAAAATTCTAATCATTGCGTTATGTGTACGATTCAGCATTCTTTTTTCAGCAACGCGTTTGAATTGTACAGTTATTTACAGTGGTGAGACCTAATAATACTCCCACACACTAACGAGATAATGATATTAATAACATATAAATAAAATTCATAATAATAATACTAATCTATGTTTAATGGAGAATTGAGAACACAAATGGAAGCCTTGCGTAGTAAGTATTTATAGTGTCGATAAAATTAGTTGTGACTTTGTGATGATTTAGTGGTATCAATTAAACATATTAAACACCTACGCCTTGGTGACATCACATGATTGGTTCAAGAGTTGAATGTCGATCCTGGATTTTAACGCCAACAATGTGTGTGGTCACCTATAGAGGGCAATACACACTTGCCATATTTTTATTCTGGTCTACATGGTTCAATGTAGACTGGCAAAGTCGGGACTTCTTTTTTGTTTATTTTTAGAGGTTTTGTTTAGAGATTTATTTTTGGATTCTCATGAAATTATCAGGAGGGCTGCCCTTGATACACATTAAACTTGCAGAGATGTGGAACTGGTTGCCGTATCCTCGGGGGCGGAGCTACGTCACAAGACGTTCCACGTTGCTAAGACGCGCATCATGTATTTCTATCGGCTCTGCGCGCTGCTGTGAAACGCCGGTCGAAAGGCCGGTGAAAATAGCTAAGTTCGAGAAAACAACACAAACTCAACTTTGAAATAATCCTGAACAACCAAATTTATATATGTTGCACATGTAGGGGTAATCTTGTTATACTGTTCAGGGGAGTTTCAACAATCATCCCAAAGTACCGTTTTCTGAGAGTTTTCGGCCTTTATTTTCACCGTGATGGTTGCCAGGCGATGAAAATGCCCGGATCTCTGCCCTCGAGAATAAGTGTAAGTAGCTAATAAAGTATGGGCTCTTGGCGGAGTGCTTTCAAGTTCTAGTTTACTATTTTTTCGTTGAAATGACTTAAATTGGTGGACATTTTCTTCGAAAAATAAGAAATGTGACACATAAATTTAGCTGGTTTTAGAGTTTCCGATTTTATGCAACGCCATATTAGTTAAAGGGTGGTGGCCGTCGCGCCACGAATGTGCAGGATATGAATTTATACCGCCATATGAATATAGTATCATAGTGTTGCGTACATCAGAATGTGGAAGAAATGAGATGACACCAACATTTATACACATAAATTACGAACCGCTGCGTGCCCCGTCATGTGCATTGCGTTTTTCCCGCTTATATAAAAACTTACAAATGTACTTACCGCCTTATCGAATTGTTAGCACAGCTCAGAGAGTAGCCTGACATGTGGGCTGAGTGGCGCCTTCGCAGGCCGAACGGCATCAGACCTCACTGTGTTGGGTTTGGAGCACAGCGGAGGACGCAACTCACGCGACCTCGTCAGGCTACGCAGAGGGTTATTGATAAATCATTGTGTTTTCAACACAAATCTCGCTCATACTCCTTAAACATTGGCTTTGTGTGGTTAAAATGAATTCAAATAGACGTGTGTGCCATGTTTGGCCAGGGCACTAAAAACTATTATCTGGAGTAAGGTACAAACAGGGACTTGAGAAAGAAATATTTGTTTCAAGCGCATACCTACTTTGAAATATCGATCAATGGGCAAAACAAAGGGTTCCTCGTGATCAGTGGACTCTGCAGTAAAGTCTCATATAGCGTTGAAACAGAGTACCACTTTCTGTTCAATATAACTGATATAATATGAATGATACATTCGAATAAATTGCATGTGTATGGTAAGTGTAAGCCAGTGGTGGTCATACGAAAAAAATCGGCCTCTTGATCGTCAGAATATTTTTAAAGTTTATGGCAATAACACCTTTGATATGCATGTCAGGATATATTTCATGGTTAGGAAGAAAATACGTAAACTAACAGTTAGAAATTCAACTACAACGCGTGTATCATCCTTGAGCAAAGCGAACAGAGATATCGTTTACAGCCTCGTCCGTCTTTTGCTTGCTTCCCCTTACGCTGTGTAACTATTTAATAATTTATTAAGCTACACAAGTTTGTCCAACTCCCTGTGTAACAGCACGGGCATCGAAGAGTTGTTTCGGGCTGTACTTCTGTCTATTATTTATCTCATTTGTTATTTATGAACATATTTATTATTCATATCTATTAATGAACGACAGCCGCTGTAGTTCTCGTGTACTCTCGTTAGAGTAACTATAGGGATATTCGGTAAGTTTACCATGATTTATTTATAATAACAGACTTATCCGAAGAGGGGAACCACATATATTTGCCATCGAGACAATTCCTTTTTTTTTTTAGTAAATTTAAATTTATAGTTTAAAATATGGATAAAATAGATAATTGTTTTCAAGTCTACTTGACATACTTGCCCGCGATTCAATGCGTGAGTGGATGCGTCGAGGTGTTTGCCTCTGAAATATGCTTGATGGGATGACGAATTGTCGGATAGTGCACACTTTAATGTACATTGGCTGGACAGGATATTATAAAACAATAATAAACGACGTTCTGCACCACAAACTCCAATATATCATAATATTATTGACATGAACGTCTACAGTGCACAAATACAATTTCAATACACTTATAAGCGACAGTTAAACTTTGCACGAGCACGTATTGTGAAGTAGGCTTGTTTTAATTAGAGAGAAAGCGCCAGTCTGGCCGATTCATTCGTTTTGTTTAGATTTGAATGAGAGTGATATCAAATGAAAAGTACAATGAAGTATAAACATGATTCCTTGAGTTTTTATGAATATTTATAAATTTGAATAACATGAGGTGCAGTAGGCAGTGACGTCATTTCAATTATTCTATGGGCCAATAGAAACCTCCCGTTTCAGTTTGAATTGTGTAAATAAATTCGTAATGATTTATAAAACGATCAAGGGAATGGGTTTGTGTGGTGGCGACAGTATGCCATAAGACTATTTCAGGTATTTAAATCCCCCGCGATAGCGCCTTTTTAGTAGTTTTACGCCCAAAATCCGACTGGTGAGCCAGCTAGTCCGTTGTGTGGAATACCGTAGCCCGTAACGTGAGTGCGCGTATCGCTGGTACGCAGACGTCACGCTTTCTCGCTTGAAAATAAATCTGCTTTCATTTCTACGTCACAAACCCGCATAACCGGGATAGTTGCATGCGATTTCGTTACCGAAATCAACGTAAAAAATCTATGCAGATTCATGGACGACAAAATGTAACAATGACGTAACTCAATGTCCAAATATGGGTAATTAGTAGTTTTACGCCCAAAATCCGACTGGTGAGCCAGCTAGCACTGGGCAAAATCGTTGATATACGATTGTATACGGAGATATACAT